TTTTATATTATCATGTTTAAAAATAATAAATATTAATAAGTAAATCTGTAGGAAAATAGGGTTTTCAATTATCTTGACCTTCAAAAAATGTATTTTAATTAACCTGCATATCTACCTCGATTATTATACTATATAGGTAGTTGGTCGTCTGATACCAAATTAATGTAATCGAATTATTCATTATTTATATACTTACATACATTTCACTATCAAGCGAGAGAACACGCCGATTCTGTGCATCCCTACTATAAACACCCAGCCGTCAAGACCGGTTCTACTTCGGCAGGATGTCGCGTGAGGATTAGCAAAATTACGAGCTGGGCGTATTCTATCGCTGAAAAGAGTATACTTATTCCTTCATTTTAATTGTACATATTATTAATCTACTCAATCCCAATTATCTTCGAATCGAAAATGTTTTATAATTATTTTTTTATATATTACTATGTTTTTAAAATTTAATATTCTTTGTTTTTTTTTTTAAAGAAATTATTTAAAATGAGTGGATTAAGTAATCGAAATTTTAAAAACGCTTAAGCACAGTAGGATGATCTATACCTATATTTAAATCCTCCTGAATAAACGGTGAAAATTTGTAGATTTACAACAATTCTAAGACACTTAGATTTTGATTTTTGATACAGCAGAGCAGTACCCACTTGTCAACTCTTTTTTTTAAATTTAGATGTAGGTAGGTATTTATAATTCAAAATTCAAACGACTAGTTTGTCAGTTGGTTATTAAAGGTAATATAAATGTATACAAAATCAATATTGATTGCTGATTAATAAAAGATATTTTAAGTCATGCAACTTTAATATCAGAATTATGTCAACAATTGGTTAGTTTTAATGAAACCAGGTATACAATATTATGATGACTAACAACATGACTTTTGGAGCAAATCTAAGAGGCTGTAGTCTGTTAAATGATAATTTTTATCCTTTTTAACTGCTAAGTGTCTTGTCCGATATTATTGACATCAAAATCTTCTCATATTCCCACATTTAATATTAATCTGTCTCTATAGACTATAATACACTGTACCAGAGATATATTGATACCTACCTAATATTTTAAAAATTACCACAATTAATTGTTTATTTATTTTATTTGTATTTATTCTTTAGGAAGTTAAACTACGTAACAGCAATATAATGTATAACGATAAATGATAATCAATAAACAAAATAAACAAATAATAAAAAAAATTTTAAAAATAGTGCAAAAATGTTGTCATCGGCCGGGTATCGAACCACTAACATTTATTAATTGTTGATTAAAAGCTATTGGTTGACTTTGAACGTATTGAATAACCATTATTTTTCGAAAACTTACTGAACAAGAAATGTGAAAAAAAGACGGTTTTTCATCAAACTCTTCCACGGCACTTACACCTCCTACTTCAGTTGGCTTCAGAGAGCTTAGCTTTCGGAGAGCTTATTTAGTTTCTACACTCTCTAGGTCGACAACGCCATCGGATGTACAAGTGTTTTAGCTATTATTTGAGTACTTAAATACACGGTTTGTTTGTTCTCGTGACAGCGAATTAAAACGATTTACAATAATATATATATATCTATCTGGGATTATTTATTATCATAATTTGACAGTTAAAACATACAATATTATATAAATTATATATATTATGAATATATATATGTAGCTTGTACTTACTTTTTGGAGGGGGGGGGGGGGTAAAAATGAAATCTGTCAGTAACTACCTACCTACCTTTTCAAAGCAATCTGCAGGAAAAACAAATAATTTTAGTATACTTATTTGTATTAATTTATAAACAACGAAGTAACGAGACGTTAACGCTGCAAGAAAAAAATAGAGAATTATACTATTGTACTAACTCCTCTATATATCTATGCTTCCCATACAAAATGGTCAATTAACAGGTGTGTGTAGTTATAGTACTATATAGTTCATATAATGAAGTGCGGTATGCAGTGCTATCAAATATCAATTGTTTTCATATAGGTACGATAACTGATTTGTATACACATACAAAAGCCAGAACTATTGTGTTTTGAATTTGTGATTGTGAGCACACACACTGCGGTCTGCGACACTGTTAATAATTCTTGATCATAATTCATAATACAAAGGTACCGATAAAATGCATACCTACTACGTAAATAATTTCTGAAAATTGTGTTCACATACATATTGTTTAATTTAAACTTAAAAATAACTATATGTACTATATAGTTCAAATGAAATTAATATTTTAAATCATAAATAAATTTTATAAATACCTCATCAACCTTAAGCATTATCTACTATAATACTAGAAAATCGATTGTATTTATATAAGTTTATTTTAATAAATTGAGAGTATTTTAATTTACTGACTTAGGTATATATTTATTATCTATTGGCCAATCTTTTTAAAGCATGTAGGTATGTGCATGTATATTTTAATGTACCTATAATCTATATAGATGATGCTGCAATAAAAAGTGGTTAAGATTAGAAAACTTAAAAAATACGGTCTATTGTGAGCACCTAGTATCTAAACCTCGGTTTTTAGTTGTAATGAATCTTAAGATAATCTATATTATTTAAAACGTTATTTACAGTGACGACTGACGAGTACCCAAAATCAAGATTATACGTAAAATATTGTTCAATAGGTAATCAGAAATACTATAATAATATAGTGGCATATAATAATTAAAACAATAATTTGTAGGAAAACAAATTTAAAAATTTTATTTGGAGGAATTCAGCCCCCGTAACCCCTACCCTTCGATAGTTCGATCAGCGTCCAGGAGTACAAACGCAACGACACGCCTTCTGCTGCCCTAATTTTTTACCGAATTTTTTTCTTATTCCCAAAAAAATATTTATAGATTGAAATCAAATGAAACTATAGATTTGGAACAAAATTAACAACAAATTGACTGTTAAGAAGCATTAGAATTTTTGTTCAATAGATATAGTTAATGTACGTTAATAATTTAAAAAATTAATGAAACTTATAGGTTACCTACTAATGTAAAATAATCGAGATTTTTTTGGTATAACGTATACTATTGGAAAATAAAGAGGTGCCAAAGAAAAGTAACTCATTTTGACATACAATGATAGGTTTTTTTTAATAATGGAATAAGCGTAACTAATAATTAATAAAGCATTATTTTTGTAAACAACACAATTTACAATTGTGCTCACAATATTTGAAATATATATATGTATAATGTATATATATTTCCGAAAAAACTTTGGGGGGAGGGGCATAAGTGTCTCACTTACACCTGTAGATCACCAAACTCACCCTATGAATAACGGCAACATTAAACAATAATTATCAAACGACTTTTCACGACCCACGGAACTAGGAGGTAAATTTTAACCACGCCACCAAGCGTAAAATTTATCTTTAAAACCACGTATACTATTAACGTAGATGAATATAACTTATTAAATAGTCTGTATCAGTGTATCAGTTGCTCCATTTGTTTATTATAATAGGGGTGCCAAAATGTAAGCAAGCAATTTTTTTTTCATCCATTCAGACCAATTTTTCTTAATATTATACTAAATACATTTTTATGTGTATACCTAAATGCGCGTGTATGGAATTGAATAAGAGTTATAGGTATATTTCATATTTTATTGAATTAAAAAAAATTGAAAAGTTGGAAGACGGAAGTTCAAAAATGGTATTGTCGTGCATGCTTGATTTTTGTAATATCAACGTATAATATTAATATATTATATTATACTTACAATAAATGTATATTACCTCCATAATTATATCATATTATGTACCTACTCCAAAGTACACCCTGTCACCCACCTAATGGCGTTCCTGAACAATCTAAAAAATTCACTACATCGGTCCTAAAAATTAAAATAGTTTTGCGACACTACGTATTATATTTATATTTACATAAAATTTGAATATGACTAACGTCTAACACTATATAGTACCTAGTGTACCTGTATCTCTGTAGCAGATCACTATACTAACTAAATATTAACGATTTGTCCATGAGTATTTATCAATCTTTATAACATGTATTTAGGCAGGCCGGTGGGCTTAACGAACCTATACATAACCTCTCCACCCAACTTTCATCCCCCTCCACTACCATAAGCACTCAACTGGACTCCTCGAGTACTAAATTATAATAACAATAATATTCTGTAACATGCCAAATAACTAACTACTAACATATAACCGAAGGATTCGCACAGGGAAGTACTACGTACCTGCACCTACTTTAAATGCAATATGTTAAATATTATATTGCTATTTACCTATGCCTTTAAAAAAAAAATACTGTGCCGTCTTAACTTACGTATAGGTCTGCGCGGACGCCCTCAGGTGTTGAGGTAGTGATTCGAATATTTGCCTGAATTCTTCGAACTCGGAATCAGCCATTGTTTCCGCGTACGATATGCATGCGTGTGTGTTACACAACGGTCGCTGTCGGTTTCGATGTCGTAGAGGGATTATTATATTAAAATAACACATACATAGTATTATTATCTCATCGTGGACATCGGAAAAACTGCCGATTTTTTCCAGACGCGCTCGCACACACACACACACACTCACGAACGGCCGCCCCGCAAGTTGTATGGTATTGATTATTGTCGTTTCCACCCTGTGCCTTATTATAGTATTACATTACTATCGCGCGCACTCCGTAGACCTCTCGGCTGGTCGCGCTCGTGCATAATATGCAAGAAGTATTTATATTTTTATAATATACCGTGCTTTTTTACAGTAATGTGTATTTTCGAGATAATTATTGTTATACTAACGTAATATTTTATATTATACATATTGTATACAGTAAACCTTTAAGTTTACGCGCGGATTTGTCGATTTTCGTTTTATTATTTCTCCACTGTTTGAGAACCAATTTGCACTGACGCGCATTTTGAGAACCGACGACGACAACAACACTGTCTACTTGTCGTTATCATACACTTCCCGCGTGTTACGCCGAAAAGGCAAAAACAGTGATAACAAGACTTAGATGTGATTATTTGCCGATGCTGATATCGGTCCGACGACGTTACGCGTAGAGCAATAATTCAGCAGCTTCGTTTACACAATTTTTTTGTTTCGGTTCTGAATCGATTTCGTACGCGATGACCACGAAAAGTTACATATTAGACAATGGGGCATACACGGCCAAAGTCGGACACACGGACGATGAGGCTCCCAAGTAAGTCACTATGCAACACTGGTGTTGACATTGTTAAACGTAAGTACCAATTTACAATATACCTTATTAATATTATTGTTTTCAGGATTATACCCAATTATATTATGAAGGCCAAGAGCGAACGGAGGAGGACATTAATCGGTGATCAGCTTTCAGAGTGTCGAGACAAATCGGGACTGTACTTCATGTTGGGCTTTCAAAAGGTATTAGAAAACAGGCGCTCAGCATTTTTTGAATGTCAAAATACTTGCTCTAATAATTATGCATTCAAATGTATAAGTATAATTAACAATTTAAGTTACTACACTTTTAGGGTTACTTGTTGAACTGGGATATTCAGAAAACAGTATGGGATTATATATTTAGTAAAGATTGTTGCAAAGCCAACTTTCTTGAAATGCCACTAATTGTGACTGAACCATACTTCAATTTTAGTTCTATTCAGGAAGGAATGACAGAAATGTTTTTTGAAGAATATGAGTTCCAAGCCTTATTGAGAACTAATGGTAAATAAATATCTTAATTATACTCATTTATCATGATAAGTACATTAAACATGGTTTTTTTAGCTGGAAATCTGTCTTGTTACCATTATCACTATGATAAACCATCCACCAAATGTTGCTTGGTTGTTGAAACGGGTTACAGTTTTACCCATATTGTTCCTTACATTTTACAAAAAAAATTCAAGCCTGGAATATTACGTGTCAATGTTGGTGGCAAAATTCTTACTAATCATTTGAAAGAAGTGATATCATACCGACAGTTACATGTTATGGAAGAAACATACGTTATGAATCAATGCAAAGAAGACTTGTGTTTTATGTCTACAGATTTTAATAGAGATCATAAAATTGCAAAAATGAAATGGCCTAAAAATACTATTGTCAGAGACTATGTTTTACCTGATTATACGACTGTGAATAGGGGAATTATACGAACATTAGACGAGACTTCTGTGAGCAGAACTATTGATAAAGATCAGGTAAGTAAAAATTATGATGCCATTTTTACAGTTAGGTATTTGGTATATTATTTATTATTGCCATTTTTTACATTAGCAAGTTTTACGCATGAACAATGAACGTTTTACAATACCAGAAATCTTATTCTATCCAAATGATATTGGTATACCACAAATGGGTATATCAGAAGCGATTGTTCTCAGTATAAATTTGTGCCCAGAAGAGACTAGGTCTCATCTATACAACAACATCATTGTAACTGGTGGTAACGGTTGTTTTCCTGGTTTTCAAGAGCGCCTTACTAAAGAAGTGCGGGCTCTTGCTCCTGATGAATTTGATGTTTCAGTAACTGTACCTGAAAAGTAAACAAAATTATAAGCTTAACAAAAATAAAATGTATAAATTCTTTTTAAATTTTCAGTCCAATTACATATGCGTGGCATGGAGGAAATTTACTAAGTAAAGATCCAGATTTTTTTTCACTTGTGGTGACTAAAGAAGAATATGATGAAGAAGGATTTTCTGCGTGCCATCGATTTGATGTTTAGATACAATAAGACTGAAAATAGAAAACATTAATTATTATTTATTGCATACAAATATTATAGACATTTAGTTTAACTTTCTATGAAACAATATGTGTGAAAATACCAATGAAATTAAAATATTTTTAATATTTAAAAATAAAACCTCTCAGACAGTTAAACATTTTGACTATATTTTCATAGTGAAAACGTATTATGTCTGTTATCTATTTCTCAACATATTTTTATAATTTTTTATTTTTCTTCTAATTTTCTTTATAAACGTATCTATGATAGAAAAAACTGTGATAGTTTTATCATTATCCTATATTTTTACTATTAATTAAATATGATGTAATTATTATTATGTAAAATAAAATATTTTTGTACTAAATATTGACTTTTTTTCTCCTTTCATTAGTTATACAAGTATCTTATGTCTATTGTCTACTATGCTATTATATAGAGCAGCGGTTCTCAACCTTTTTGAATTTGTGGCCCCCTATAATGTCACCAAGATGTCCAACGACCCTTTGTAAGCATTAAAATATTGAACCAACTGTTATTATTGTATTTATTTGTGTATATATTTTACAAAAAAAGGTATATTATGAACACTTCAATGAACCTTTTTATCGACTATCGGACTATCCAAAAACAAAAATATATATATATTATGACACTTACTAAAAATTATAAGATTCTAAGTGAATCAATTTTTTTCCCACATGGATTGACGACCCTAAAATAATTGTTGGCGACCCCGGTTGAAAATCGCTGGTATAGAGTACTTATAGGTAATTTAATTTTGTTTTAACTTTCCGGATAATTAATTAAATATTCAGATTAAAACAACATTGGTATTCAAAAATCTTAAAATATTATTATTAATACATGTCATGTATTTGTTGTAGTAATCTTTCATCAAGTCTTAGATCTCACTATAATCATCATTTGTATTGTTTGTATTTTAATATTCTTTAATACCTATAGAAATAAATAGAAACAAAAAAATACCCTTACAAGATTTATATTAAAAAAAAGTTTTGGACAATATCCTTCATTGGCAATTCAACTGTTAATAACTATTAATTATCATGGCTCTTTAGCCATTGTACACTATTTCCACTCACTAGAACTTAACGATCAGTGAGCTATCTATATTATTAATAATATTATTTTGTATAATCAATATTAATAAAACCTAAAAAGTCACTTGTTACAATTTTAAATATTTTAAAAATACATAATTTTCACAATTTTATTGAATTATTTTGAATCTGCTTTTCTTTATTTTAGCATAACTTGAATTATAAAAATACTACACTAAATAGATTTCTCATATAACACAAATTTGTTACAGACTTGTTAAAATGGAACCAAAACGATCAAGACTTTCAATGACTTGGACTTTGAGACCAGTGTTGCCAGAGAATGTAACAACTGATAGCATTGCCACAGTGAATGTGTTTGTTGACACTATTATTGATCGAACCTCAACCAGCAAAATCGTTAAGGATCTTGGACAATTGTCTGTGATAAATTCTTTAACACATCTTAAACGCGTTAAAAATCAAACGATCATACTAATGTTAGCCAACGATTTAAATTCAGATGATTGTGTGGCAGAGTTGGAAAGAAAAGGATTTAACTTTGCTGGCCTATCTGGTCGACCTGAGATCATTCCAGTCCCGGCTTGCATGCCAAAAACATGTAGCCAGAACCTACAAGCTCGTAAGCTGTGGCCATGTAACTTTCATCCAGACAAACGACTAGAGTCAATATTGAGTGGTGATTTTTTTAATCAACTTGAACTTGCCATTATTGATGGATACATGAGGACGGCATTGGCATGTGCAACTGGTGGGGTGGGTGCTGTGGTGGTCGATCCTTTAAACAATTTGATTATAGCTCAAAGTGGTGATTTCCGTACCAAACACCCTGTAAAGCATGCAATCATGTGTGTGGTAGATAAAGTGGCCCAGGCTCAAGGAGGTGGAGCATGGAACTCTTCGTCTACCATAGCTAAAACATCTAGAGTCACTAATGACAAGACTGGGCCATACTTATGTACAGGATATGATGTGTATGTAACCAAAGAACCATGCGTGATGTGTGCGATGGCATTAGTGCACAGCAGAGCGAGAAGAGTTTTCTATGGATATGAAGATGATAGCAGACCAGGAGGCTTGGGTGGATCAGTCAGCATACATCTTCTCAAAGGAATAAACCACAGATTTGAAGTTTTTGCTGGTGTTTTAGAAGAAGAGTGCAGGACTGCAGCATTGGCTTCGCATACCAACAATATTACTCAGAACATACAACACACCATGTAAATTGCAGAATACTGAAATCTACCAAATAAACTGACACATATGTTTCTATGTTTGTCTTAAATATTGTTAATTATTAGCATTTATTGCTAACATATTTAGTTTGTACCTACTACAGAACCTAATAACCTATCCAATATTCAGTGTATTTAGCTACTAAACCTACTGTACAGTGTTGAAAAATTTATTTGACTTTTAAATTTCTGAAGTAAAAGAATATATATAGGTACGTTATACCGATTAAATTATCTTTTAAACTTCTTTTGAGGTACTACCTAATGGCTAATTGTAACAAATATTTAACTAAAATACTAAATAGTAAATTTTAAATCTAAAAAAATTGTGAAATTCTTAATAATTTTTCTAAAATTAGGGAAAACTATAGAAAATGATTGGCCTTTTTATATTAAAAACTGTTGTCCTATAAATAATTAAGTTTGACTGTTAAAATTGGACTGAAAACTGAAAATTTATTCAAAATGCATCTCCAAAATTATCAACTAGACTTGAAATTTTAACTCTTATCAGTTATCAACAAATGTCTGAAAATATTGAAAATACAATTGTTCAAGTTCTTTTTTTTTAATTGAATACATAAGACATTTAAATAGAAAAAATTCATGTAGGTGTTAGACGGTGTAGTCTTCAGTCAAGGGAGGGGGAAGGCAATGGTGGACTGGGCGAGTCTGGGCCACTGTGCAATTGGGCATTGGTGGACCTGTGTCATCTAATGTACCCCAAGCTAGTACAAAATAATCCACATGGTAGAGTAGGTATTATTATTGCTGACGATTTCTTAGGACCTCTTCTATTAATCTATTTAGAACTCTTTTGTAGTAGTCCGGCTGTATTATACAGTTTTTGGAATAAAGTATACATATTGCTATTTGTGTTATGTTACACTACCACATGTCTTAAGGTTACAAGGATTATGATTTATGGTTTTAACTGTTTTAAGTTTTCTACCACAAAATAAGCAAAACACTGAGGTAACTAAATCATTAAATTTTATCCAGTCACACAAAGTAGGTATATACGATAACATTTTTGGTACTTTTCTGTTATCCCTACTACCACGCCGATGCTGTGACCACAATTCGCTCGATTACCTATAATTGCTGACAGTTGTTGTATTTCCGTCATTGTATTTAATAAATTTTAAATTAATTATGAATCTGTGGAATTTACCAAACCGTGAAAAAGATGCGATTGAATTTTTTCAAGAGAAGGGTTTACTTCCGGGGCACCGTAAATGCAAATTCAAATATTGAATTTTAGACTTCAGTAACCGTGATTTTTTATTTTTATTTGTAATATTTAATATCTTGATGAATTATTTATGTTTAATGTTATAATTTCTAGAATAGACTTTCAACTGCTGTGATAATTTTAGAATATGTAACTTGACGTTTTGTGATAATTCTGAGGACATAATATACTAATTTACTTTATTATATAAACGGCAATCCATGTGTTTTATGTATTAAATTATAGAACTATCTGGATATTACTTTAGTAGTCGAGATAACAGAATTGAGTGGTCACGGTAGTCGCGGCATCGATTGGTAGCAGGGATAACAGAAAAGTACCAAATATTTTTATAACAAAAGTCGCCCTTGGCTGTGCGTCAACATTCGAGTGACCTAACCTCCGGCCGGCACGTCCTCCACTAACACTGTTAACTCGTCGACTATTTTAGTATTTTATCTGCATCCTGCTCTTCCGGTCCGACGTTCAGCGTCGCATCTCGCACGGACGATCCGGGCGCTTCGGGGAGATGCGAAACTTCGTCACCGCAGGCGAATTCCGAACTCACATCTTCGCACAACGTCTCGGCGATCCCGTCTAGAACAGACGACACCACCTGGACTCCACTTCGGGCTGCACGACGTCGTCGATCGTGTCGTCTACTTCAAGTGCGTCGATCGAATCGCATAATATGACGTTCTCCGTTTGTATGGTAGGGCCGGTTTCTCCTGATTGGCTGGTCGTATCTGATCCTGGTTGTTGTTCTCCGAGGTTGGCGTTATCCCCGGTGCCTTCGTCCTCCATCAATATGACGTCACAGATGGTCATTATATCGGCGTGGATTTCGTCGATGATCGTTTCGACTTCTGCGTTCGTGATGTTTGGTTTGGTGTTTTTTGGCAGTGAATTTCTAGTTTTGTGATCAGTGGTGTCGGAGACAAAATTTGCAAGTGAATCAAAATAACAATCTCGCCTCAAACAATCGACGAAAAATTAAAATATCCCCCTGACGACGCGTCCGACGTCGTTTACAACTAGCCAGCGAGTCGTCGTTCTTAACGGCCGGCGTTTGGATTTCGGGCACGCTTATTTTTCCAAACATACTAAAATTTCCAACCTACACTATATTTTAACGAAGATCGGTACTTCGATTTTGTATTTGTTCTATAGTTTTATAGTTGTAGAATAATAATAAATAACAACTAATACGTCCTGTAGTATTTTAGAAGCTGCAGGGCGGAACGGAATGAATATATTTATCTAACGAGGACGTGAGTTTTTTTTTCTTGTATGTGTACATGTTTTGTAGTAGAAAAAATACTTTGATATTTGTTGGAGGTTTCAAATCAGTGAACCTTACTCCAAATTAATGTATCAATGTTTTTGAAACTGCCATTATTCAAAAAATATTACAAATAATTGTTTCCGAACATATAATTAAAAACGTTAAACCGAATTCGACGTTAATTGCTGCATCTTAATGTTATGAGAAGGGTTCGGATTTGAAGGCAATATAATCAATAAAAAAGGCAAAAAACGGCATTTAATTTAAATATCAAAAGGCAATTCATAAATATACTACAAAATAAAATAGTGAACATTTTTAAACACTTTCAAATACACACATTTTGAGAAAAATACAAATTAAAAATGAGCCTGAATTCTAAACTACATTAAATTTATGCTATTTTGTATAAATAGATTAGGTACCTTTTTCTTTAACCAGGTTTGTCCTAAGAATTAGTTAAAAACAATTTTAAATATTAACTTACTTGAGTTATACTAGTTAATTTAATGCAAAATAAACTAGTTGGTATTAAAAAAAAAATTGACTAGGTACCATGTATTTTGATAAGCTGTCTTCAGAAAAACGGCTACGGTTAGGGGTTAAAATATTTTTGTACATCGAAAACTATCTTTCTACGTCCACCGAAGTTATCGGGGCGTATTTCATACTTAAATATTTATCTAAATTAAGATTGCTACTTGATAGATCGTCGTCGCTTGTGGTTTCTCCATTCAATACTTGGTTGATCTTTTTGATATTTTCCCATCCTTTGTTCTTCGATATAACTTTGTTGAACCTAACCAAATACTCGATAAGACGATATCGATAAATATTGCAAATAATAAAACCCATTTGTAGCGATAATACGCAAGCTGTGTATAAAATTATAAAATCAATTGAAAAATTAAACACAAAATAAGCATTTATAAGTACGAAAGGTAAAGAAAGGCAAAAAGGCATTAATAAGTAAAAAGGCAAAAAAAAAGAAGATCCATCGTCTAAGAAATTAAATGAAACACATTTTTGTATAAAAATTATTTTTCTATTATGATTAATAAAAGAAAGGCATTTGCCTTCAAATCCGAACCCTTACTCATGAGTAATGTATATAACTTGGATCATGTGTTTATATTTATATAACAGCATTGTATTGTCATTGGTACAAAAAGAAGTACAAATGCTCACGCACCTTTTGTCAATAGTCAATACTTTATTTAACTATAGGTAATCTAAATTATTATGAGTTCTGTATTACACAGATTCAACAGTTGTGTCACAAACACACTATTTTTGTGCATTCAGGTCTTAATTGTATGCAAGTATGGGTGGGTAGCTCCAATATGTGCCATTATGGATAAAAAGTTTGTGACCCAGCTGGGCTTCATTAAATATTTATTTTATGTCATGTTTATATCTAACGTTAGCCAAGCACATAAGTGTAGTTTCATACAATGTTATCATAGCCATGGCTGTAAGTTATCTCGAAGGACCGAACTGCTCGATGCGCGTAGTTGTAACACGGACTAAGATATTTTATATCTATTATCTATGGGTTCAATATCAACCCAGGTTGGAACAAATATGTGTCAATATTATTTGTCAATACTTAATATTTTCCAATATACTTTGTTCCAAATGTTTTGTGGAATAAAAGTTCATCGGAACACCTGATGTATTCTGAAACATCGAGTAAAATTTAGATATTTTGGATAAGTTGGAACAAATAGAAGCTGAAAAAAATTATGATCCAGATTTTTTAAGATCCACAAAATAATTGTTCAGAGAGATTTTTTTTCACAAAGTATTTGTCCTGAAAGATCTTAGTTGTAGTTCTGCAAATTGCAAAACACTTGTTCCGATGGACTTTTGTTAAACGTTTGGAACACGTGTTTTGCGGAACAATAAGCAATGTCCCTAGTTTGATATCCTTATCTCTAGTCTTCGTGGCCGTGGGCACGATCACGATTAAAGATAGTACTATCTTAAATCGTGCCGCGGGGTTACCTATGGGCATAGAACAATATGCTATGGGTTGATAAGATGCACGTTATCAAATATCAATTATTATCAGCTTATCACCGACGATAGCCGACCTCGTGGTTCGTCGGTTCGTGGTTGTGTTTAGTGTTTACTATTTTCAAATTTTCTAACTAATTTTGAATTTTATTTTGACATTTATACCTTAAGTCTTATATGTTTAACGCTATTTTAGCAAGATGAAACCTCACCGGCATAAAGAATATAATAGGTTTAAGGTAAGAACCCTGTACAGTAATAACAAGTTTATTATAATTTTATGCTTGAAATATTTTAGGTAGGTACCTATATAAAATAATATTGTTATTTTAAGTTAAGTTATATTTATAGTATTAATATTAAATATAATTCCAATTTGCAACCATATTATGTTAAATATTTATATATTATGTTTTGACTTTTAGTTTCAACCATTCAGTGAGAGAATATCAGAAATTGATGTTGACGTGTTCCATCGTGTTGGACATAGCAATGAGGACTTTGATGACACTCAAAAAACTCGATTTTCCCAGGCTATTGAACGATGGAATGATTTAAACAGATCTGAGAGTTATAATCAATTATGCAGTAATTTAAAGCAGTCTCAGTTGGAAAGCTTGCCTCAACTCTTGGCAAGAAAACATGAAATAGCACAAGTCTTATTTAAATACATGGATGATTCTGATCCACTTTCAATTCAAGCTGCACTCGAGTAAGGCTTAACTCATATTTTAATTTAAGACTGCTGTATATTGTATACTGATTTTACTTGTTTAATTATATTATGGTATTATTATGTTAAAGGTTTGTTGTTGCATTTGCACAAGACTTACAACAAGAATTCTATGAATATTTTCCTGAGTTTTTAAGACTTTGTATAAAACTATTACGAACAAAAGATGCTGAGCAAATAGAGTGGTCATTTACTTGTTTAGCTTATTTATTCAAGTTTCTATGGCGTTTAATTGTGCGGGATATCAAACCCGTATTTGAGTGTATCGTTTTGTTGCTTGGAGATGACCAACCACCCTATGTGAATGATTTTGCTGCAGAAAGTTTTTCATTTGTAGCCAGAAAAGTAAAAGATAAGAAAAACTTTTTGAAAATGGTTCTCAAAAACTTAAAACATAAACGAGATGTAAATATATAGTTTATTAAAATTATTATACTTTGTACCTGTGTTTTTAATTAATTTAATATCTATATTTCAGAGTATATATGGTTGTTCTAAACTTCTTTTTGAAGTAATTAAAGGCATGGCTGGTGGCTTACACACTTGTGCAGATTACTTTTTACCGGTTTACTTAAATTCTCTTGCTGACATGGATATCTCATATAAGTTACTGAATGATGTATTGGACATGTTATTTGATAATATTCTTGGACATATTGAACCTAAGAAGAGTATGCCTATATGGGCAATACTCAAGGTATAATTGTTGAATAAATATAATATTTTTTCCTACTACATTAAATGTTTCTAATTTAGAAAACAACATCTGAGTTTTTAACAAATTACAATAACAATCAAAATGAAAGGACTACTGACAATTTAAATCAAGCTTTGATTCTTTGCCATCGATTTGTAGCTCATAAAAATGGATCATGCATTCAAAATTTGACCGAAGTATTTGAATGGGTACTTGGTTATTTGAATTGTGCACCCCAATTAGCTCAGGATCATTTACATACTTTGAGTTCCATTGTAAGCACACTCTGCCTATCAAATATTGGTCTGCCGTCATATCAATCTAATGTTTTAATAGAAAAAGTAAGTAATATACATATCATACATTAAACTTTCAGTAAATTTGTATATTTTAATTTCTAGGTTATGTCCTTAAAAAATATCAACATTTTAGTAGCATTTACTGAGCAAATGTACACATATATAAATTTTGAGCTGTCAATTATACAAAAATTTTTAAATTTTGTTGCTGAACTTATTAATGCAAATCAAGAAATCCCAAAATCTATAATTATTTGCTTATCTAGATACTTAAGTGATAATTCTCCACTCAGATCTTATGGCTATGACAAATGGAGGATTAATTACAAAAATACACTTTATGGAAGGTAACACATGATTTAATATAATATTGTATACTGTTATAGTCTTCATATAAGTTAACTTTTCATATTACATTCATGTTACATATCTGTTAGAAAGTTTCACAACCTTAAGAGGACGTGATATCTGCATGTGTTGTCTTTGTCTTACAAGTGCGTAACATAGCGAATTTTACGCTTAGTAGAACACGTGTAGCTCCGTTAGTTTAAAAACTAGTGCGAATTGACCTCTTATAAAATCTAAAGATAAGATTATTATCTAGGCAACCTCATAGGTTTTTTATTATATTTTAATTTTAACACAAGTTATGAGTATTTTAAAATTGTAAATTTTTTATACATCTTAAAATACTTATAACTCGCGTTAAAATACAAATATAATAAAAAGCCTTTGAGGTTGCCTAGATAATATTCTTACCTTTAGATTTTATAAGAGGTCAATTCACTTTAATTTTTAAATTAACGGAGCTACACGTGTTCTGCCGAGTGTTCAATTTGCTTTGTTACGCACTTGTAAGACGGAGACAACACTTGCAGGTATCACATCCTCTTAATAGATTTAATAAAAATTTAATTTTGTAATAGTTAAGCTTATGTTAATACTACATTGATCTGATTAATAATTTTAATAATAATACATTGTTTATTTTTTTCAGACATAATGACAGTGAGATAATTGGGAACTACATAATCAAACAATTAGAAAATCTTCAAATTAGCAATTGTGATTCTGACGATATTCCATGTTATCTGATTTTACTTCAGCATTTTTGTCACAATGAAACAGATTCTACAAACGTTTTAGAAATTTTGTTTGAATTAACAACAAAAAAATTAGAGAATACTGATGTTATAAATCTTTTCTCTTTTCTTAACATTATTGAAACGATTTTGAGACTAAAAGAAAATTTTAAAGATTGGTTTGATTTGCATGAATTAATACCTAAACTTAATTCACTTCTAAATAATAAGTTTGGATGTTGTGCTTTAGTATTGGAAATAATTCATGTTTTAATTTCTAATTTACAAATTCAAATTAGTGATAATTACATCAAGGAATTAGAAACTAAACTTATTGATTTATTGTCATCACCATATCATCAAGTACGTCTTACAAGTTGTAAAATATTAGTATTATTAAATTCGCCCACACATACACATCTCACGGAGAGGAATAGTCTATTCAAATTATTGGAATCTGTAGAAATTGTACCAGTTTCATTAAATGAATATCGAGCTCGTCTCTTACGTATTCAACATTTGGATAATAATGATACATTTTCAAATGCATACAAAACAGTTGAAGACGCATCAGAAATTGCTGTAAAATTTCTTTTAGGCAATCTACATATCAATTTCAGACCAATATGGGATCCAGTTGTTAAATTAATAGTGTCTCATGCTAGAGCATCAAAATCATTTTGGCCTGTTTATGAAAAACAACTTGAGCTGAGTGTCAAACATGATAATTATGTCATCAAGCCTGCTGAACCTAAAGAAGAATTGATGAGTAAATTTATTATTTAACTCAGCTGTTGGTTCCAATTTTATAGTTTTTATCAATTTTTCAGGTGACTTTATTGCTGAACGTTATAAAAAGTTGAATAACACTGCAGAGCGTGTAGATATAAATAATTATAGAATTTTACTGTGGAACAGTATGGTAGATTTTGGAGATCTAATAGAATTGAAAAATAAAGATATCGTAACACATTTTCTCAAATTTATTAGGTAAAATGTTAATATATTTACTATGTTTTAAATAAATAAAATAAATAAATGTAATTTTTATTTAGATCTGAGTACATGCAGAGCAATTCAGAATTAGCTAATAGTTGGAATATCAGACAAAATTCTGATGAAGAAATTCTTGAAACTGATATTGAAGATAATTTAAATGAAACCAGTTCTGAAGAACCGTTTAGTTCAAATAAATCTCTCACCAAGTATGATCTAGTTCCAGATCGTCTATATTGTATAGAAAGTTTGATGATATTGTATAATTTATTTATTTATCTATTTTTTAGATTATTACTATCTCATTTAAAGTTAATGTCAACCATTCGTAACCCTAAAGGAATATATAAAGAGTCTGAAGTGTTTGATGTTTATTTAAGTCTTCTTTCCAACAAGAATGCTGAGATACAAAAAGCCGCTTTTGATTGTTTGTTAACATATAAACAAAAACATGTTACTCCTTACAAGTAAGACAACTAAAACTAGTATTTATTGTTGCAGAAAACAACTAATTGATTTGATTTGATGAATATTAAATTTATATTTTAATAATTTTTGTTTTACAGGGAAAACCTTTATAAATTAATCAATGAAAAATCATTTAAGGCTGAATTGGTTATGTTTAGAGTAGACTCGGAAAGTGAAGCAATATTATCAGAGCATCGACCGCTTTTAATGCCCCTTATAATGAGGTAAATTCTAAATTGTAAACAGTAATGTAATACGTTCATGTGTATATAAATATTTTGTTAGGTTTTTTAAAATGACATATTTTTTATTTGTTAAAACATTGTTATTTTACAAATAATTATATTTTAGGATGATTTATGGTAAATTATTGGGTGGAGGTGGCCCCAAGTCAGGTAGCAAGTGTTCTGGACAAAATCGACGAACTGCAATCATGCGTTTTCTTGTTGGTTGCGAAGAGCGTGAACTCATTGTTTTCATGCAAATGGTATTCAGGGTGCTCAATTGTCAAGTTCAATGTAAGATATATTGTAGTATTTAATTTTAACTTTATATAAACAGTATTTTTTTTTTTAGTTTCCGAATGTCCTTTAGAAATGACACGCCATATAGTTGACACTCTTGACTTGGGACATGTCCTCCCACCTAGACGTCTTTTATCTTCAGTTAATATGTGTGCTGTTATATTAAAGCAATGTGGAGCATTATCAGGCACGGATGGTCTTTATTATATGTTACGAGTTTTATTGTGTGTTGGAGCTAATGTAAAAGCTATGTTGATGCATCGTTCTTCTGTTCATGCTGGGTACTTTAGCACAATATCTAAAGTTCGAGTTACCACAGTTGAAACCTTAACTACATTCTTTCAACATTTTGAAAATTTCTCATGGAATAAAAGTTTCTTGGACTCCGTATTTGAAGTGTTTATTGAACCATCATTGAGTAAAATGCCAGTCGAATGTTTGCAACATCCTACTCCTTTAATGAAATTGTTAGTTATTTGGAGCCAAATACCAAGGTAGTTATTAATAATGTACTATACACCTCGAAACCATAAGATTACTTTAATGATACATTTTATGGTTTGGTTACTTTATAATAGTTATTAGTCATAAATTACAATAGATGCATTGTTTTTAGATACTATTGTTTATTGGGATATCCTATAAATAATTTAACTCCGATAGAAATTTTAATAGATATATTAATATCAGACAAGACTCATGGTGGAGTTAAAAAAATTATTCTTGAAGTTATCGATAGACTATTAACTTTTGATGGAACTTATAATGATGCCATGGATGTTGATGTTCCAGCTCTAGATATACCTCTTCCTTCATTACCCTCAGAGTATGAAGGTAATGCAATTTATAACATCTAAATAATTAAAAATACTTACCTTTCATATATTTATGTTGTTAATTCAAATTTATTGTTGACAGATGTTTTAAATGTTGGTTCTCGTTTATTATATAATTACCTTCCAACTATCCTTAAGTATTTGTACAACGAATTATCAAAAAAAAGAGGCGTTGGCCTTGCATCAATCGAAATGTCTATATTGACTAGAGCTTCTGAACTAGTGCGAGATCAACAATCTAGTTCAAATTTACTGTCTTTATTGTTTCCTGTTTTATTAAAAAAAGCCACTGGTGATGATATGGCAATCGCTCCATTATTTGCTACTGTTAATTGTTTAGTAGCAAATGTGGATGATGTTGGATCATTGCCTAGACAGTTAGCCACTCTGTATGGTACTGTTGTTGGACAACACAGTAGAAATATGTTACTTGAATTCACTAAAATCATCTCTAAGAAAAGTCCGTAAGTAATTTGATAATTATAAGGAATATAATTTAATTCAATTATACTTATACATGTCACTCTACGTAGTACCTTAATTTGTTATGCTTAAATGAAATATTTTATTAAACAGGAATAGTAACATACATTGTGATATATTATATGATTTAAATGCTTGGGACAAGAGGCATTTGGATCAACCAGATTTTGATTGTAGGATGAATGCATTAAAAAAAATTAAAGTTCTGTTGGATAGTAATGATATCTCTGTGGAATTTGGTGCATTTGTGATTTATAATTGTTTTTATATCTTCAATAATGTGAGTAATAAATAATAATTTAACTAAGAATAAATCACATGCTGAAATTATTTAGATGCATTATTCAATTAATATTGTTTGTAGGTAAATGATATTGGTCTTAGAGATACAGCAAGTACATGTTTAAAAAATATTAGTTGTTATCTTTGCTTAAAATATGCAAAACAGTCATCTGAACGGACTTTTATTCTGGATTCTGTCTTGTTGCCATCAATACGCAATGGGATTCAAGGAAGTAAAGAATTGGTTCAGTATGAATCAATTTCACTTTTAGGACATTTGGTTTGTTACTAATTCTTTATGATGTATATTGCTTATAATTATTGTGAATTTATACTAATCATTTGTTTTTATTAGTCAAGAAAATGTGCCCATGTTCATTTTGTATTTAACGATTTACAACCTTTGTCTAATGAAACTGATCTGGAAGGTGACTTTTTTGAGAATATTCAACATTTACAAACTTACCGAAAAGTGAAAGCCTTACATAGGTGGGTCAATTTAGTTTATATCTTATAACCATTAATAATTTTGTTTTAAATATACTTAAAAGTTATTTTATTTTATTTGGTGGTATTTATGATTATTGTTATTTAGGTTTAGTGAAATCATGAAAAAAAGTTATCATTGTCCAAGACCTAAAACAATTGTACACTACCTTTTGCCATTGGCAAATCAATTTTTATGTTCTCCAAAATACTCTGCTAAAAACAGTCTGGTTGATGCTGCTATTGACGTAAGATTGATAGATCCAATATCTAATTGACCTTAACTAAAAATATCTTCATTCTAAATTTTAATTTACATTTTTAGGCTGTTACTACAATGAGTCGCATACTTCCTTGGCAACAATATGAAACTCTACTTAAACTTTATTTAAATAAAATGCGTCAGTCAATTGATTTCCAAAAACAAACAGTGCGCATTGTATCAGGTATATTAGACTCATTCCATTTTGATTTATCAAGAGCAGCTGAAAGAGAATCTCAAGTTATACAAAACTCAACTCCAGTAAAAAAGATTAAAGACACTTCTCAGAATGTAACCCAAAATGATAAAATAGAGATTGAAAAACAAGATGAAGATAAAGTTGAAAATGAGATGGAAGTAGATGATGATGTTAATGAGGATAATGATGATGATGATGAGAACGAAAATAATGAGATTAATGAATTAATTTTAGAAAAAATTCATGTTTTATGTCCATCAACAGCAATCAAAATTACTAAAGCAATTTCAGTAGGTTTATTGCCACAGCTCAACAAAAATCTAGCTCAGTATTCAGAGTCTGACCGTAGTCATAAAATTAATAGAAAACAAGCCGAATTCGACAAAGAAGAAATGGAAATGTTGAAAATTCCAGTTGCACTGGCTGTAGTGAAACTATTAAAAAAGTTACCAAAAATCATGCTGGAAGAAAATCTACAAGGTGTCTTTATGAAACTGTGTACATTTTTGAAATCTCGTTTAGAAAGTGTGAGACGTGTGACTCGTGAAACATTACAAAATATTATGGTAACACTTGGTACAAGCTATATGAGCATGTTATTAAATGAAATGACTGCATTATTAACACAAGGTTTCCAAGTTCATGTTCTCATTTATACAATCCATGCAATTTTTGTATCACTAAGCGAACGTTTTGAAAAAGGTCATATGGATAGTTGTCTGCCTTATATTTTAGAGGTAAATAAAAAATACCACTTTTAGTACTTAATACATTATATTACTGAGAAAATTTTGTAATTAATAAAATGAGGTACTTTAAATGCACAATTGCATTATGTTGATTATATTATACATTTATTTACTACTGGTGATCATAAATTTACAATATTATATTTTAATACAAATTGTTACTTATGTGTCTTAACTACAGGTTGTCAAGGTAGATTTATTTGGTTCAAGTTCTGATGAAAAAGAAGTAACAAAAATTGCAGGAAAAACTGTTGAAGCCAGAGGTAACAAGAGTTATAACACTTTACATATTGCTGCAGAATTTGTGACCGAAAAATGTTTAATTAATATAATCATGCCATTTAAAGACGTACGTATTAATAATGGTAGCTTTTATTTCAAGTGTGTCTTAATTTCAATTTCCATCACTATTATTTAGATATTGTTTTCAACATTATCGTTTAAAAACATCAGAAAATGTAATGAGAGTTTGCGGCACATTGTCACTGGATTAGTTGATAATAAATTTATTAAGACTGAATGCCTATTAGAGTTTGCATATGGTACAGTATCTCAAAGTATCCCAGCACTTAATGAAAATTCTAAACAAGAAATAAAAAAAAAAGAAGAGCTTAAGAAACCAGATTCATATATTATTCCTCAGGGTAATATTGGTATTATTTTATTAGAAAACACAATAAATGCATTCTTCTGTTCTGATTTTAGAACCGAAACGTACTTCTACACCATTTGATGGAACAGTGTGTGCTCGAACAAATGCCCATGAACTTGTTCAATTTGGTTTAAGTTTGTTTCAATTTATGTTGAAGCGTGAAATGTTGAAGAGTGCTGCTTTTTCACCTTTTGTTGATCCGTTTGTCTCTCTAGTAATGGATTCACTTAAATCTCAACACATAAAGGTAAACTGAAAATGTTTGAACAGCATAGAGTTCAATGTTTCAATTATTACAATATTTGTTTCATAAAAATGTATTTACAAAATTAGCTCATTACATTATCTCTTCAATGCATGACCTGGCTTTTAAAACGAGATTTGCCATCTGTGAAGGAAAATATCAAAACAATTTCAGATAGTCTGTTTGAGATTATACATAAATATGCAACCGGTCAAAATTGTACTGGAGACAATGCTGAACTTGTTATGTCTGCATTTAAGGTAAACACCAAAAAATTTTTATTTTATACTTGTATATTTATTATATAAGTTGGGTACCCAGTGTTAGCTTGTATTGTTGTTTAATCATATGGTTTTGTAATTCTCAGACACTTTCAACATTTATACGTGAAGTTAAATACCATAGGCTTGATGATGATCAACTGCGCCAATCTGTTCTTTATGCAGAACAAGAACTATCGACTGTTGAGGACGGAGGTTGTACTGTAACTACAACATTTACACTCATCAAATCATTACTTAGCCGTCAGCATAATTGCCCTGAACTTAAAGAACTCATGACTCATGTTGCAAAAGCTAGTATTACTTGTGAACGTGATGCTGTACGCACCCAAGCACGTCAAACATTTTATCAATACTTGATGGATTATCCTATTGGAAAGGCTCTAAATGGTCATGTTCAATTCTTTCTATCTCAATTAGAATATGAAGTCCAAAATGGACGTGAATCTGCCTTGGAAATGATAACTTTATTAATCAAAAACTTACCGCCTGTTAGTATAATGCATTTATCATGTAGTTTATGTAATAATTTTTATAACTACAAATTTTTTTTTAATCTTAGGATGTACTAAGAAATCATAGTTCAGCTATGTTTATATCACTTGGTGCACGAATGGTAAATGACAGTGTAGCATCATGTCGTAAAAGTGCAGCAGAAGCAATTACAATTATGTTAGGCAAATTGACCAAAAATATTATATCTACATTGTATGAAATAACACTAACTTGGTTACAGGGAACTAAAGTAATGATTAAACACATTCATTATTTCACAATATTAACAAAGTTGCATAAGTATATTTATAGATTATAAAAACTTGATTTTTTTATAGATTATTCATAGACAGTTAGGTGCTCAGTTAATAAGTTTATTTGTTAATGCTGAAGGCGAAGAATTCAATAATAGGGTAAAAACAACATTGCCACTTTTATCCAAATATCTAAAACGTACAGTTATTTTGGATGGACCTGGTCGTTTTGTTCGAATTCACACACCGGTTGAGAATGACCAAGACTTGGATCATTTGTTATTTCAATGCCTTCAAACGTGTGTAAATATTGCTAACACTTGTCCTAGTATATTTACTAAATCATCTTTAAATGAACATATCATGAATATAGCAGGTCAGTCAATATTTATTTATATTAATCATAGTTTTCAATGTTTAAAATATAAATTTATTTTAGTTTCATGTCAAGAGTTATTACGAGACGACCATGAATGGGTTAGACTAGGGGCTCTTCAATTTTTAAAGAAATATTTATCATCAGTAGATCTTAAGGCAGTTGCATTGTGTGCATCAAAAAAAATTGATAAAGAAGAAAAGAGATTTTTGTACTCAAATGCTCGACAGAGTGTAAAGAGTCTATGTTTAGATCTGGTTGATCAAATTATTCCAGGACATGAAATACTAGAAGATGTATTAAAAGATGTAAATATTTTAATTTCCAACTTTCTGAAAAAATTCATAATTCAGAGTTTCATAAATGTTTAAGTATTTTAACCATTGTGTTTAATTTATAGACCATGGAAAACCTGTTATTTTTATCAGATATTCTAAAACTTGTACAATCCAAAAAAGTCAAAGATGATAAAAATGAACTTTCTTTAGGATGGTTACTAAAAAATTTAAATAAACTTGTTTATATAGAAGTGTCAAAATACCCTCAACATAACACTGTGGTAATTATTATTTTCTTTCTATAATTTATTAATATGTTATGGAATATTTATTTTTCTCAAAACATATTTGAATTACCCAATTTGTATTATTAAATTCACTATTTTTATGTTTAGAGAAAAACAGTGTTTAAATTCTATGGTGCCTTGTCTCATCGATTAGAACGTTCTAAGTTGATTTCTGTATTAAAAATAATTTTAAAACCATTGATTCGAGAGCTTTCAACCACCGATGATGCTAGCATAGATAATAGGCGAATTGCTAAATCAGCATCGATAATTGTTAAGAAAAAATGTGGACCTGAAACATATAATGAAAATTGTTCTATTATTCAACGAATTCTTAACGCTAGAAGAGCATTAAGAAGGAAGGCATCCTTACTCCAAGTGAGTTATGATTACAATTTAAAATTATCTTTGTTCTACTTCTACAACATGTATTCAAGTATATAATATAATTATTATTATATATTTATGTATTAAAATTTTTTTGTAGTATTTAGAATAATTTTTGAATGAAGTATTTGAAAAGTATTTTAAATACTGTCTTGGACATATTTGTATTTGAAAATCAAATACTTCCATGTATATACTATTCAAAATTTCAAAGAATTGTCACTCACATTTGAGATTATTTTTTGATAATCATTAGTTTAATTTATTTACAATTAAAATCAAATTATTAAACATTTATTTTTTTGTTTAATTAATAAAAAAGTATTTTAGAATTAGTATACAACAACTTTTCATTTATTTATTTTATTTTCATTTTACAGTATAAAATTAAGCATTTAGTACACATTATTAATTTTACTTAAATTTGACATAAAAACTTTTTAAAAATAAATAATTACTAACTAAAACATTAAATGTCTTACTTACATCTTGTACGGTTGTACAATTAAATAAATACAATTTAAAAAGTATTTTTATCTGTTTTTAAATTCAATTTTAAAAGTATTTTTACAATATATGAGTATGTGTATAATACATACAATGCTCTTATATTTGTTTATTTATATTTTTTTATCAATGTTCAATGTTCATACAATATTACCACATTATTCAATGGATATACAAATGTGATGTAATTTTATATATTTGTTTTAATTTTAATTTTAGGTTGTTACCGATCCAGAATTAGCTGCCAAGAGAAAAATTGCTAAACAAGCAAAAAAGAAAGGAAACAAAAAGAGAAAAATGGAGAAACTCAAACAAAAAACTATTATAACCCGGATAAAAAAAGATATGGATTTGGAAGAGTATTGTTAATTTTTAATTCTTTATTATATATAATAAATGTAATTATTGAATACATAATATTAACTTGTCAATTTTAGTTTTGAAAAAATATCCTTTCGCATACTACAAATATGCAGACTTTATTTGTACACACAATGGTCTCAATGGTATATTTACAAATCAAATTTTTTGGTAAAAAATAATTCAACCTATTGCATTAACAATGTCTAATAGTAAAATAAATTACTTTAATAACAATAATAATATTTTTGTCATGCCAGCGCCTGCCCCGAAAGTTTAATTTTGTTGATGATGGTTGAAGCGTTGGAGAACGACCTTTCCTGCTTTTCCCATCCAGTGGGCAGAGTGGGAATCCCCACTGTGCCGGACGGTAAAATGGAAATCCCCAAAAGTGCTGGGTGTATCCTCTACACAACCCGACACTGAAATCTATAGGTACCACGTCCAAGGTCCTTACAAAACACATACTTTTGGTTACATCTTATATTCATATTATAATCTTGCATGATGCGTGAACATTTTTCTTTCATGAAATTGTTTTCGTAAAATTGTCTGGTTGTTGCATAGATCTCTGCATTACCTTTGCCGTGATCGACGAACGCAGAGGCGTAACAAAAATAATAATATGCGTGGCTCGTGCGGGAAGGCTATTCCTTGAATTTGATCTGGTCTGCAAAAGAGTTCTAGTTTTTCAGATAAAAAAAGTACCGAACTTTTAATTTATTTTATTATACTCTGAGTGTTAACTAATTTGTTATATTGCGTTGGCGCGAATCGCCGCTCTATTCATTTATTACATTAAAACTATTTTTTTTTTAAATTGAAGGGGCGCCAATTGCCGCACTGTAATCATGTTGAGTAGGAAGTGAGTGTGAGAATTGTTAATTAACAGCATCTCATATTTTATTTTTTTATTTAATTATTAATTATTTTTTTAATTATTTTCGATGAAAATATTTTTGCTCGATCAAAAAACTTGAAAGTTTAATATAAGGTTCTTCGGAAGTTGTTGTTGGTGGAAATTAAAAAAAAAAGTTGAACTTAAATCCACAATATTTTTTTTATGAGTATTTGAAGTTAGAATTTTGACAAAATAACGAAAATTAGCAAATTGTTTTGTGTTAGAAATTTATGAAAAATTGTCTATAAGAGTTAAAATTGAATACAAGATCCCTATCTTTAGCGAAAAGTAAGAAGTTTACAGGAGTAAAATTAATTTTTTATGAGCGTTTGTGGTTCAGTAGCTGATACACTCGAAATTTTCTCCGAGTGTTTAATTTATCTTTTTGTTTACACTTTGGAATTTTTGAGTTATTTATAGGCATTTCACATTTTTAAAAAACTTTTTCTGTAAATGTCAACACATCTATTTTCGAAACACATTTTTGGGTCACCCATTTTTTGCTATTATTTTGTACCCAGTGAACTAATTTTTTACGAGCGTCCCAGATGTTCCTCTCCGGAGTTTGTGATTAGACAAACAATATTTAATTTGGATCGCATAATAATGAGTGCAGTTAATTTGAAAATAGATTATTGACCAAGGGCTTTTTGTTATTACCTATATGTAAATGTCGAGACACGTTTGTCAAATGTTATTCTTACGTTAGGTAATTAAGGTTCAATGACTATCATGAATGCTTTTGATATTCTAGTGAAATTCCAATAGGCTATAATAGGCTATACAGAATCTTGATACATAACATAATAATAATATAATATATTATACATGATGATATACATTTTTGAAAAATTCGAGGTGATTCATATTATCTATATTGATCATTTTGAAAAGTATTGAAATATTTTTTTTGAAAATATTTGATTTCAACTTTTTAACTTTATTGAATGATAATATGCATTTAATATTTCATTTTCCAAAGCAGAACTTTTTTTAGAATTTCAAACAAGTAGGTAAGTGCCTAATCTATTAGTTAGGTATTAATGTACCCATACCTACCAATTTAATGTTTTGATGAGCAGAAGAGTGGACCATTAATTTGTGGGTTGGTATTACTGTGCCAGTCTAATACTCCACTCATCTAAACTTTAAATACCTATTTATAATTACTAATTAACTAGGTACTGGTTTAAAATTCGATTTTTATGTAAGTATTGAAATTATTAATAAATAATATTAAAAATGTACGTTGTCGTTCAAAAAGTAAAAAACAATTGAAACAATAACGATACAAATTTAAAATTTGAAAATGTTGTTTTCCATGCCATACAATTAAAAAAATATTTTTCAAAAAGGTAAAGTTTAAAATAATGAGTATAGAACTGCAGACTCTCCGATGGATCCCCTTGCATATTATTCATAAATCAAAATATATCACTGAATAGGTATAATATTTTGCTTTGGATATAAAATCGCGTTACCTATTAATTATGTATCAATGTATAATATGTTGTAATATATTTCTGTGGTGCGCTTGTTGGCCATTTGGGCTTTGACAATATAACACAACAATTAGGTTATAGAAATGTTTGTGTATTGTATGATATGTTAATATTTGTACAGTCCAAAAGTCAAGATAAAAATGAACTTTCTTTAGGATGGTTACTAAAAAATGTAACTAAACTTGTTTAAACATTAATACCCTCAACATAACACTGTGGTAATTATTATTGTCTTTTTATAATTTATTAATATTTAATAGAATATAATAATATATTTGAATTTCCCAGCATTAGAGGAAAACAGTGTTTAAATATTATGGTGACTTGTCTCATCGGTTAGAATAACGTTTTTAGTTGGTTCCAGAATAAAAAATAACTTTAAAACCATTGTATAAATCATGGACGATAAACAATATCAAAGAAGCTGCTTGAAATATAAACACAACAAAAATGTGATATGAAAATGTTTTGATGATTTTAAAAGAATATAAGTTTAAAAACCGTTTATTATTTATTTATTATATAAGATTTTGTGACATAAGTAACAATAAGCTTTATATGCGACGTCACGACATGTCAAAGGCACACTCTATTAAATCATAACGAGTTTATCGGCTTATAATATAAGGGCATATTATAGTGCATACCGTGATTTACTGATATAACTTGGCTCAAAGGAGAGTTCGGTAATAACAGCAATCGTTGTGAGTTGCAGATAAATATGCAGCGGACAGACGATATAATATTATACGTTGTAATTACCTACTGGTTTATAGAATCAAACGCCCATTGAAATTAAAAAATAAATCTAGATCAAATCATAATACGTTTGTAATGATAAATTGCTGTGTAGGTTGATTGTATATTCAACGTCTTAATAAATTAAATATTAGGTATTAAGTGGACATCTCACCACTTGATTTGCCAATTAAACATTGACATTACTATTCATTATAATGTAACTATAATTATACCCATTATAATATAGTCGTTTGTAGGAAAATACTGGTATTCTGGTACCTACTACATAGTTAGAATCACCACATGATGTACAGGGAAATTAAATAGCTTTTATCGCTTTAAATAGGTAGGCAAGTAGTTAAAATTAGAGCTGTTTTTAACTAGGTACCTATATCATAACATAATTAATACCCAAGCAAGCATAGAGTTTTAGGCTAATGCACTGAACATGACTAAAGTGATGCTCAACAGTAATATAATACCGATTTATGGATAGAATTATTTATATAGATTTTTCTTCGGAGCTTTACCTGAATTATTTATTCAAACTTCCAACATAAGAATAGATAATCGAATGGGTCACATGATCGTGTTCACGTGGGACTCATAAAGAATATTAACCAACAGTTTGTTTTGTTACTTACCAAATCTCAATAAAATATACTGAATGTTTCGGCCAAGTGAAAGTATAAGTTTACCGGCGTGGTGACATTTTCTGCCCCAAAACGTGATAACAGACAGAAAAAACAACTAAAAAAGCACCCACAAATTTCTTGTATTCGTTGTCATTTTTTTAGATTCACATCAAAAACCAAAATCGATTTGGTTGAAATCCAATTTTGAGGGAAAATTCCTGTTTTTTCTTAATTGTTTTGAGAAACTTTAAATTTTGACCTTCCGAATACACCATCAGGAAAAATACTGAAGTTGAAAATCGAAGCATTATTTCAACTATTTATCGTGTACGAAAACACAAAAAAAACACACATCATTGTAAAATCAATACGTTCACGCTCAGAATCTAAAATGTAAACAAACATTCAGGTCATACCGTTAATATGGGTTAATATGGGTGCTCCAGAAAAAAATTCATAATATAATATGTGGACAATGTATACTACAAACTAGATTCACTTTCCTGGCCTGAAAAGATATTGAAGTTATTCGTACATTTTATTTAATAGCTTCAGTTGGCAAGATATAATATTTAAATAGGTAAACAAGTAGGTACTAATTTCTATAGTAATAAATTATCGCATCGATGCGATATATTATGTAGATGTATACCTACATTAAAAAAAATAGCTTTTTATGACATGTGTATAGCCGTATAGGTATTAAAATGTGAAATTATTATAATACAATTATTGCCCACCAACTATGGGTACTATGTCACTATATGCATTTATACACATTAAATTCTAAAAGTCTGCACCATGAATTATGACTACACAGTCTGCAGTTCATGCATTATACAGTCATATAATTATGGCTTTTACTATAGGTACTGATAATAAATTATAATTTAAAATCAAAATGTACCTGTGTATTAATAATTACTATTTTTTTTTTTGTACATTATGGTGCCAGAACTATGAGTTCATGGAATAAAAAGTATTCAACATTACAAATAATAACTTTTTATTGAATTCGATTAAATATTACAAATTGCGATATATCTTATACGTTAACAAAATATAATTATACATTTTTTTTGCCTTTTCGTATTCATGATGACAAAATGATATTTAAAGTACTTAATACTTAGTTAATATAATTATGCGAAATGTTCATAATTTCTAACGTCTATAATATTAAACAATAATCTGACTGTTGGTTAATAAACAAAAACATTTATACATTTTTTTTTCAATTTTGTAACCCTTCTATATTATTTGTATTATATTAACAAAATCAATTTATAATGTTATTATTATTTAGTATATTTTAGGTAACAAAGTGTGGATATGTTAATATTGAAGGACCTAGAGGTGAGGGCAGAATAAAAATATCCCATTAAGGCACTGTATAAATAATACCTTAGTGTTGGCCTCCTTAGTGTTGTAAGTCAATCTCTAATACTTATTACTGGCTTAGGTTTAGTGTATAATGATATAATTATGTTGTAGGAATTTGAATTAATCGTTCAATATTATTCGTTAACAACCGTAAACATCTTCTACGAACAATAATAGCAAAATATTGTGCTGATATTGTATCACTGTAACATTGTTCCGGCGAAAACCCAAAAGAATCATTGGATGTCTGCAAAGGTTTGTCAATCACACTTAATATTAATAATACAACGTAACTAATACTGAAAAAGCATGTTATATATTATACAACAGATAAAACATAAAACTTTTCACCGGAAAATAAGAAATGTGTGAGCACTACGTCGTATATGATGTTATTACGAATCAATTGTGAACAGTGTCTTCGAATTATATTGTAATATTTTGTAAAGCCAAAGGTTTAATTTTCAATGCAAACAAATCGAACTTAGTTATGTCTTGAAAATGTGTAAGGAATTGAAATCCTCATCGCATACGGAGATACTCAACATGTGGTATGAAACGACCGTAGGTACCTACCTATTTATAGAGATCTATTTTTATGTAATCAAATATGTGGATATTAATGTTATACATGTATAATGCAGGTACGTGTGGTGAGTATATAAAATGGTGCAGTGTGGTCGAAGCTTTTAAGGACAAAACCATTTCATATCTTACTTACAACAACAACAAAATAAAAATAATAATTATAATAGTTCATTATTCACATAACATTAATCTAGTACATACAATTCCAAACGGTACATTTTTAAACAATGTGTTTTTTACAAGCATATAATATATTAATTTTGGCAAAAAAAAAAAATATCCAAATTATACCCTTGTTAATATATATATATATATATAATTCAATATACATTTATATTATAAATATTATATAATATCGTTATTATCATAATATAATATTATAAAAATTTAATATTTTGTAACAACATTGTTACAATTTTTTTTAAATATTATTCGTTTGATTATGCGTGTCGGTACGATGCACATAATAATTAATAATATATAATATTATACCTACGGCGTATTGTATGTAATTATTATGCATACAACGAATCCCATTATTTTTAAAAACAGAGTAGATAAGTGGAGTAAATGATTAACAACTACTTGTAAAATACGTCAGATTTTAGAGTGCGTTATGTACAAATTGAGTTAATGATATATAGTTACATTGTGTATAACTACAATGGTTCTTAACGGGCGATTATTATTAGTGATTGTTTTTTTAGCGCGTTTGAGATGAAAATATAATAGTATATTACAGTTGGTCCTCCAGGGAGCGTATTTTATTTTTCAAAAACACGGAATTGAATATTCTTACAAAGTATATTTGTTTTCGAAAGCGATACTGCCAATGGGATTTGTAGGCTTTTTGTAAAATTATCACCTCAATGAATGGAATTTGCGTTTCTAAACTTTGGGATCCAAACGATATTTTTGGCTTCATATAACTCCATCTATGGACGTGAGGGTACTCTTTGCGGGGGAAACGTTATATAATAATATAATATGGGTATACGCGAAAAAAAAATCTATAAAATTCAAAACTCATATTTTTGACGATGCATACTTCATGCGTACTCAAATCTATCTACCTAAATATGAAGCGTTTCTCAAAATTTGGGTAAAGACCAGATTTATTGAGTCATGAATAATTATGTGGGTCCAGCTGACCATACAATTATATTCATTTTTAAAACATTTTTTAAATATTTATAGTGTAATACAAAATAAATAATATTATTGACATGCACCGAGCCATCGAGCCGGGGGTTCATTCAAAAAACCATAGAACTTCTAAGTAATGAAACCGGCGGGGAACTATTATATTTGGTGGGTGCAAAGATTTCAGTGGAAACAAATTTTTAATAAAATATCACTTGGCAAACCTGGTCGCGTGTATTCAAAGATCGAGAAACGCCCCAGTAATAATAATAATTCTAACAAAAATAATAAACGTCGATCTTAAATCGTAAACAAAAACTCTCAAAAAACTCGGTTGTCGTCACCGTCGTCATGTGGTTTGTGTGTTCTGTAAGTGTGTGTGTATGTGTGTGTGTGTGTGTGTGTGTGTGTGTGTGTGTCGCGATTATTGAAATATGTAAAATAATAAACGTTCACAGTTCGGCCAAGTCGCGGGCGGCTGGTTGCTGCAGGGGCATCGGCGTCGGCTTCAGACGCCCAGCGGTTCACGGCCGCCGCCGTCGTCAGTCAGCGTGCCGCCGGCACGTGCATTTCACGATCCACTCGACGTCCACGTACACGCTGTGGACGTAATCGTCCGCCGTGGCCGAGAAGGGCCTGCGCACTGGTTCCCAAAGGTCGTCGCCGGGTACAGCGCCGTCCAGCCGGTCATGGCCCTCCACCGGGCTCCGGCACAGGAACTCCACCTTGACCGTGGTGCTGAGCTCGGGGGCGCAAACGATGCCTCCACCGCCGCTGTTGCCTCCACCAACACCGCCAGTCGTGGACGGGCACGCGCCACCGCACCGCTTCGGGTGGAAAGTCTTCCGGCTCCTGCAGTCGCCGAACTTCAGCCGGACCGGTGTCGTCGACTTGATCGTCGCCTTGCACTCGTGTCCCTTCTGCAGAATCAGACGGGCACAAAAAATATGTATGAGGATCGAAATTAAAACGTAGAGGCCCCCCCAGTGGTATATCCAGGATTTTTTTTTTTTGGGGGGGGGGGGATGAGTGGTCTGATCAGTTACATAATAATATTAAAAAAAGAAAAAAAAAAAAAAACCATGATAACTGCAAAAATTGTGTTTAAAATAATTAGAAGTACAATTTTGAGCACCATCTGCAGGATACGCCACTGGACTAGACCCGAGTATCTTTTTAAAGCCTCGAGTCGACGGCCCAAACTGTTAACGACAGAAACGATAATAAAAAAATATAATATTAGAGATGGAGTCCTGAACTCTTTAAACCATCCTCAAAATTTTAGAAAGACTTAAGTTCGAATCAAACACCTCGAACGATTCGAATAATTCGATTAGAATAATGATTGATATATTTCTGTGTTTAATAGTTATTTAAGTAGGTTATTGTTAGTAACAACTTACAATTATTATAAAATATCTACTTTACCATGGCGAAATTTGTGTAAGTTTAATGCATATTAATTTCAAATCTTATTTTTATTAGAATAATTTTTTAAAATAAAAAATTAATTTTCAGTAACCCACAGTCATAGATAATTTTATATTCATGAATATGCCATATTGAATTTAAGTCTGGCCGAAAAGTCAAAGTTACCAATGTAGTTGTAATCAAGATATTACCATTGGTAATAAATAGCATATACCTTTACAGTATTAATAACAAAACATAATACAACAATAATACATATACATTTTGTAGTTAGGTATATTAATTATAGTTATTATTATAGTTATAATATAAACTTAACAGGCATCAGCATATAATCAATAATCATTATGGTATAACATTGGTAATTTCGAATACCATGTTCATTATGTTCCTATATAGGAATGACCATCAATGTGCCCCTGAAATGCATATCCATAACGCCGTGTCATAATTTTTTTACTACTGAGGTGCAAAAATCGAGTGAAATGGTCTAATTTATATTAACGCCTCCTTTTATTTACAAATGTGTTCATACTCATTAAGTCATATTATTAGTTGTATTATTAATATTATAATTCGTAATATACATCACATATGATGATATATAATATATACGCTATAAGGTTTTGTAAAAATAAAAATTTTATGAATTACAGCAATTGCGTTTTGTTTGTATTCGAGTGTATTATTGTGCGATTTCTCTATTTAGGATATGAATTGAACGGAGCTGAAATAATTGAAATACACATTTGAATGCCGATCCCACATAATTGATTGGGCTTATTTTTTTTTATTCGTATGAAATTTATTTCGGCTAAATCGCTGTTACGTATATTATTTTTGTGGTAACGAATTTCACGCTCAATTACCGTACCTAGTAAATCGCATTATACCGGTGTGCCTACAATTTATTTGCATAAACGTTGGGAAAATCGAATTTATATGGCCGTGTTTTGTGAAATGCAATTAAAAACTGTTAATATAGTGTTGTTAAAGTTATGATTGCGAAATAATTTAATACCTACCGTGTTAAGTATGGTAGTACTACAGTTCCCTTACTCGGGAAGACGTATATATTTTATTTTCGTTGCTAACTGGTGAAAGTATACAATATATTAAACACTGTTTAGTCTGTTTGGTCGAGAAAGGCGGGCGATGACGATGATGATGGAAAAAAGAAAATCAAAGACGTATTACAGAAAATATAAATAAACGTTGTGATAATAATTGATTTAGCAGTGTGCGAATCGTAGCACGCATTATCATCATTTGAGACTTCGACGAAGGTAATTTCTAAATGGACGGAATACAAACACCTAACAAGAAGACTGAATAGCGGTTTATACATTCAAACTAGACGATTTAGCTGTAAGAGATAGGGGATATTAAACGGAACGCGTTTATCGTATTCGTATATAGTATTACAAAGGTGGCTGCAAGGAATTTGTGGTCAAAGAAACGCGTATATAGAGAGACCGTTATTATAGACTATAGTACTAGCAGCCTTGGGGTAGTAGGTACTTTTATAAACTGTGACAGAAGCCAAATAGGTTAGTCGGCGGAATAGACATTTTCTCGTATATTCTTTGAGTTAGACCACGCCAATACGACGTGGGTACTTGAGAGTCAATTATTTATAATACTCATCCACATGGTAAATGAGTTGAGTTTGATAAGATTTTTTTAGCATTATTGGCTACTGTGAACAGTGATGAAATACAAAATATTATAAACATGAAAATGATAGTAATGTAAAAAGAGCACTGTGGTTAGTATAACGTCCGAAAAAAAAAAAAATAAAAAATTTTGAAATATTGTTTGACCTTTATAATCACGTCTGTGTTTGTTTTTTTATATTTTATTTTACATATTTCAAATAACGGACATAAAAGTCATTCAAATTATTATGATGTAAATTTACCCACTATTGACCGTGGTAATTTTATTTTTAATTAGTTACATTCATTCGTGTGCGTATCGTAGTTTAATGCTCTGTGCGTGGAGAGAATATTAAAGTGAACATGGTTCATTTTTATTTTCTTAAATCTGGTGTGGATTTAAAAATACAACTGATTCTCTGCATAATAGTCTGAAATGTGTCTTTGTGTTTGGCGAAAATAAAATATTTCAATGAATTATTATTATACCCAGGCCTTAAAACGAATAAAAATATATCCTCTACGATCGTTATCGGTAAAAGTTTCGTCGCTAACGCTGTAAGTAACTTTTATGATTTCCAAAAGAGTACGATAATATATTATATATGAAGGAAGCATAGGAAATAAAAGAATAAACTAATTTCTATTCAGATTGAATCCGAGGCGTAAAAGTTGTCGACCGACTTTTCGGACTAGAACAGGAATATTTTTGATTCATTGTCTTTCCCCCCCCCCCCCCCTATCGCTTCGTTCGCTTTCGGTACGCCCATTAGTCTGCCCTGTCCCAGAAGCAACTTGTCCACGCTAACGGGACGGAGCGCTGTTAAAATAAAAGGTAAACACGACCCGCGACGACAAATACTGTAGACGTGACGTGCAATAGTAAGGCATTCAAATTTCCCCCTTCCCGACGCCCGCGCCAGCATTCGACCAGATGTTTCGGTCGTGAAAAATTGTATTATTTTCTATCCTTCAATGCATGAGGGTTCTGAACATGAATAATGGAATTCGCATTAAAAAAAAAAAAAAAAATTATTTATCAGGACGATGATGGGATAACGGTGGTTGGTCGGGCGCATCACCATCAAGGTGGCAGTGCACGTACTCCTCCGTCTCGTTGGTTTTAAATCTACGCAGAACTACGTTCTTATTTTATTCCATTTAACCATTCAGTTTTTACAACTCGTATACACCGTATGGACATTGAACGATATAACGTATTTTTTCTTTTTTTTTTTTACCACTAATGGCAAGTTTCACGTGATGTCGGGGTTTTTATCAAACACGTACAAGTATTAGTAATAAAACCAGAAAAAAAAACTGTTTTTTAAGTTGGTTCAACGTTATTTCGTCATTAAAACAATATTCATTTGACACGACTCGAAGAAAGCACATAAAAAATAAATTCTAATTAAATATTGTGCTATATATATATATATATATATGTGTTTTATTTGAATGGTTGTGGTACGTTCATATATTAGACCGCCATCGTATACACGTAGGTAGTTGTAGGTACATAAAATAATTAATATTTTTGGTTTTTAATTGAATTATAATTTATACACGTTGCGTCAAGTTAACTACGTAAATCACTTGAATATTGACGGAGTAGTGTATAATATAAAATATATACGAATTGGTGACGGAGCTTTGGAAAAATAAAAAAGCCTATTTCTGCAGGCTTTAAAATGAAAAGTGACTGCACGTGAGTTAGTGTAGACCAAAATAATATTATATTCTATTAAATTGTATGATTTGTTGTGTTATTTTTTTCGGCGAACTGAAGTTATCACTGACAAATATAATATTATGGTCTACAAAGTTGTGCAATTAAATTTGAATTATATATTAAAATGTTATTTATAAATCTCTTGATAATGATATAATTTTTTTAATTTTTAATTATCTCCTCATATAATTTTTTAGTCGAAATAATAATTAATTATTAAAATAAACTAACATAAATTGATTAACTATAGTGCATAATGATGATGAAATAAATACAAATTTTAAATTATAGTAAAATATGTTTATTCAAGTACACATATTTTATTTCATACAAACTTAAAGTCAGTGTATCTATTGTTTCTGTGATAATTATAGTCTCAAAAATTATAATAAATTCAAAAATACGTAGTATTTATATTTCAATCGAATTTTGATTCATGATTACATTAAATTGCTTTAGGAATATTAAAGTGGTTCAAGTCGTTTGTCACAACTACAAATATTTGCATTTTCTGCCTTTTTTATAAACGGATTATAAGATAGGGAAGAATCTTCATCATAAATCTTTATAGCGGAAACATAATTTTATACATCAAAACATTTTATTAAGTATATTATGTATTTATGTTAAAGAGTCTAGATGCGTCAATACTTCTGAATGTTGTTTTTAGATTTTCTGGAAAGTTTTTGTTTTTAATCTGGTTCATAAAATTATACTGAGAAAATTCTCACTAATGTAAGTTAAATTTTTATTTTGAAAAAGTTAACATATTATTATTTTAATTTAATCATAAAATGCCAATATACATAAATTAATATTTGGTCTTTTAAAATGTTTAGAAACTAATGAGTTTTCCCTTTATTATATTGTTTTTGTACTTCTCTATGAACTATAAATATTATACAACCATAATTATTTTAGTACTCAGCATATTAGTGTATTTTAATAATTTTATAAGTAAGATTAAGTCAAAGCTCAAGGCTAAATATAATAATTTATTTTATTAATTTATCAAAATGTATAATATAATTTAAATATAGAGTATAATAAATTATATCAATGCTAGGATGTATATACATTGGTAGTATGCTGAGTTCATGGTTTGGGTGCTAAAACTATACGTTTATATGAAATTCAACAAATACATTATGTTTGTGCATGAGTTTAGACAGTTTAGTTACTTATATTATTATTGAAAAAGGCCATTGATACTTTCGGTTTTTTTTGTTTAAATGAAAATTTACTAAATTTTGTTCGATTGTGTCCATAAACACTATTCATTTGACATTATAGCTAATGTCCTCATTGTATTGTGATATCATGATGGTAAAATAGTATAATATTATGCTTACTCTAATATGATGATGTCTTGCATATTTAGCATTCACTAGTGGTGGTGAGTGACACGGCCTAATTTGGCAAAGTCTAGTTTCGTTATTAGGCTTGCACGCTTCATTTGCATTAGACATGCGCCTAGAAAGGCCTAATCCGCACTGTGACGAACATTCCGCCCAAGGTGTCACTAATGCTTCACAATTTGGCGGCCTTTCCACTAAAAAAAAAAATACATATATAGTGGTAAATATTTGTTTTTATTCAATACATTTTAAATTTATTTATATTATTATTATTCTATAAACCTAATACAGTATTGAAAACGTGATAAAACATCTTCATCTTTAATCATTTTTGATAACTCGTGAAATAATTTGAATATTAACAGTATTTGTGTAATATTACGTGTGTTCATTTATTAGTACCATATAAATACTTCGTCAGTCGTTGGAGTCGTTATTTTTAATGATTCCCATGGCTACTCCATGTTTCTTCCAGTTTTGTTTTTAATACGTCGTATATAATTGATTATCTATTATTTATAGGTACTATATTTCGTCTTTAATTAAAACTTAACGATTTATTGTGGGCATTTTAATCTCATCAATTGTTGAAAATTTGTCGTGACCGGGATGGTTTATCAATCAATTTCGTGTTCGGCATGCTCGAGGCTTATCCGGTCGATTGAATTCAATCTCGGTCTCGAGCATGGTGTGTTCCGAAGTGACAAGAACCTTAAAAATTCATCAAATACACGGTTTAGCTATAAATTATTCATCGTCGGCCATTACTTTTTCCGGTCCATCTAGGCTGGCGACGAAGAAAGGAGCATAGGAATTATTAAAGAGGCGTAAAATAAACAATATGTGTGCTGCAAAGTAAAGAATAAAAGGGGGGAAAAAGAAACTCTGGCAAAAGAAACGTTAATTTGAAATGTGTATTTTGCAACTATTTCGCGTTCTTTTTCCTGTGTCACTAAATGATTCAAATATCCTTCAGATCTTTCGCACGCGGTACCCAATTTATGTTCTAATCCCTTCACGTTTCCAGCACATTAGTCCGGACGCTAAGCGTGCGTGCACGATCTAACATGACTTTAGTTGGTATGTGACGCGTATATATGCTTAATTACCGTCTTAGCTGCGGGAGAGCTCGGAACAAATAAAATGTGCACACCGGATTTTGAACCGACGTAACACATATGAAAATTCTAGTGTAAATATAATACACATATATATATATGTATAAATTGTGAAATGCCTTTGAAAACTTGATTTATTATATGATTAAGGGAAATTGTCCAACAAAATGCGTTCCACGTGTGGACGTAATTTAATTCTAAATGAATGATTTTATTTAAATTCTAATTATTTGAGAGAAAGTTTTTTTTTTAAATTAAAATTAAAATTTGCTTAAAATTTGTGGAATTGAAATAAAAATTGAGGACCAACCGTTGTTTAAAGTTTGTTATACATTTTTTTTTTTTGAAATTCGTTTAATGAAAATTTACAATCTATAAAAGAGAGCACATTAACTAAACGAGGGAATGCACAATTCGATGGTGAAAATAGAAAACATTTAGCAGGCGTTTCTCATTGGAAATGCCCGAGTTTGTTATTTGAAATAATATTATACACAGGTACAAACGTATGTATGTTTGATGTTCGAGTGTAAAATTATTATTTGTGCACACAAAACTTTATTTAAAGGAAAATAATAAAATTAATATTTACTCTTTGGTTTACATGTGTACATTGTTTTTACCATATATTTTTATCAATAAATAAAAAAACATTTTTTTTTGTAATTTATATAGAAAATATCTTTAAATAATTTTTATACGCTACAGCAATTTCAAATTAACGTTATACGGTTAATATTACAATCCGTATTCCAGTGCATATTTATACTTTGCCAGTCACCCTGTCATGGCATTCATGATTTTTCTTATATTTTAAAATTTGGCAATTTTGTATATTTTAGTTTATGGTGAAAGTTTTATGCAGCTTCTTTCAAAGAATTATTAAAATTAAAAACAATTTCGGACCTTTTGAAGTACTGAACATAACATTTTATAGATGCTCTCAAGTTTAATATTATTTGATATACATTTTAAGAGTCAGATTTTCAAAAAAATGAATTTAGATTTTCAATATGCTGTACTACGTATATTTTCGATAGCATTTTTCATAATACTCCAAGATGAATCATAATTTTCAACAAAACAACCTATACGCATAAATATGAATACTTTTATTTTTCATACAGTGGTTTTTATCGTACAGTCTACACAATTGTCTACGATTTGTCTGGAAAATATGAATAATCAATTATAAATTATTACTACACAATATCTGCACTGTAACTTGGAGCCATATAAGTTGATTAGTTTTACTTTTATATTGCGTACGTCACTTGTTCTGTAGTTGTATTTATTTTAAACAGTACAATGGAAACCTTGATTTTAGTTAACAGGAAGTCTTTTTTCTTTTCTCACGGAAATCAAAAATGTTTGTTAGTTTGTTCGGGTGTTCAATATTGCTCTGTCAATAGACTTGGTCATCAATAAAATAGTGGAGTAAATCAAGAACGACGATTAAGTCAAATGTATAGTTGGTGATGTATGGTTTTTAATCGAAATTGTTATCAAATTGATTATTTAGTGTATGAATGAATTCATTTCGTCGGATGTCATGTGTTGGTACTTATATCCGTGTGCTTACAAGGGCGGTATATAGTTTTGTGTATACGTACGCGACTACACCGCTGTTTCTCGAAAACTCGAAAACTCTGTGCGGAAATACAATATAATTTCCATTATGACGGCGAGACAGTATATTTTATGACGTTATAATTGCGCAATAACACAAGAACACGAATAATGGATACGGTGCGGATAACGCCGCAAATCGCAATAATATAATAATAATAATAATATTAATCGTTACCATAAAATATGTACAACGAAGACGCGCGTTTCCGTTTCGCCTGGGACGAGACCGCGAATCGTGTCTGCCCGGCGCACGGCTCGTGTGGTCGGACGAGGGAGACGGAGAGACGCGGTCGCAGCGAGAGCGACCGAGAACGAAGGATTTGTGGCGTATGTTTTAAGTGCTCCACTCGCGTGCATGGTTTTTAAAAGCTCTCTCTCTCTCTCTCTCTCTCTCTCTCTGTCTTCTTCGGCCTCCGTGTACGCTATTCCGGTTCGAAGGGCTCTTTTGAAATTGAACGTGACGTCGCATATAAGCGCCGCACAAAGGTGCATGTGTGCGTGAGTGCGTGTGTGTGTGTGGGTGTGTGTGTGTGTGTGTGTGTGCGTGTGTGTGACCATTTGAAACATTGATCGAAACCCACCGCCTCCGTAATCTCTGAAAATACGTTATCAATTCGTCGTCACCACCACATCATGCCCGAATGCGATCCGCCAGAGCGTGCAGATGCGTTGTTTCGGGAGACTATGATATTACAATGTAATTTCCTGTTTATACCAATCTCTCGAAAAAATCGTTTTGTTTTGTTTTTATCTCGACTTGTCATGTGTTCCTGAGACGCGGTTAAATTAACCAACCACAAAAAAAAGAAAAGCAAACACGAACATTTGAACCAATGGAAGTATAGGAATAAAACAGTAGACACCACGACTCTATACCGACGGAATTAAAAATATTTTTTTCGTTCCAAGGTTAGGTTTGAAGGGTTGTAAAATGACCCTTTTCCATCTAACGGAGAACGAATGCATTTTTCCTATCCATGATACGAGCGGAAAAGTTAAAACGTCCACTTCTGTCCAAATCAGATCGATGTACATGAATACGTTTCGGTAGGTGGGTTACTTCCGTGCTGTTCTATGAAACAGTTTGGTGTATCTATGTATCGATTACCGCGAAGAACAGTTCATTATGGAGTAACCGTAATATTGATAGAGACGTTTTCGGAGGTAGCAGAGGTGTAACAAAAAATAGTATTAGTGGCTCGTGAGGCGAAGGCAATTTCAGTCTTGGGCAAATTGAGGCCCTCAGCTGCGTCTCATGCCATAAACATTGTTCGCGATTGAAATAGTTCTTTTCCCACCCTTATTGCCTCACAATATATTATTACCGTCGATTTTAAATCGATAGTTTTGTACCTACCTATTTCATGGTTAATGTATTTTTGTATAAAAATATTGTTTTATTCGTTATAACATAATATGTTTTGTCGTGTGTATTTCGTATTGTAAACATATGTTTCGAATCACAGTAAAATGCGTTCGCCGTATATCACTTACTATTCACGTTGTCACACATCCATTCCCTGCAGCACTGTCCGGGCACTTCGACCAATCGGGGATGCCTGCAAAGTCCTTGAGGAGATATATTTTCTTGTGGACACAACGACGCACAGGCATAAGTGCCGTTCTGGAAAAACAATTAATCGAACTGATATGAATGACCATTCAGTTCCATGAAAACAATAAAATATTGTACATCATAGATTATTTTTTAATTATTTTATAGCTATGGTAGAAAGTAGAAACTGCAACTTGTGTATTGTTGGCTCTTGCCCAGGAATGTTCGAAATGTAAGCGCCGTAGGTATAGAAACTTTCCATTAGGTTTCGTATTTTACTGTAGTCACAAATATCACAATGGAAAGTTTTTATGATTATGATAATATGTCATCATTTAATTCGATTTGAAAAGGAATTTAGCAGCAAATAACCATTTCAGTCCCATAAATAAAAACGAATCAGGTCTGTATACGAGGATTCGATTGTTATTATTATTACGACCAGCGCCCAGGTCGCCATAAAAGATATACATAATCTCGAACAAAATATTATTAGGTATATAAATGTCATCCTCTAAATTATATACAAGCACAGGCTTCGACGCCACTGTGGCAAACCTAATAACATGCAAGGTGATATTGCTCTCGGCAAGCTGTAAACGATATAAGGGGCTTACTGCTAAATCAGGGTTTTGCAGTTTTGGAAATTGTCTGGAAAATAATTTCGTTCCAATACACGAGAAAATATGTGTTAGGAGAGGATATTTTAAATCTGCAATTTATTTTGAAGCTTTTATGAGTATTACACAAAATTAAGAACTTTTAGACAAGCACGTCAAATTTATGTTTTCTTGACCACATAATATTAACTAGGTAAATTATAAAATATGATTCAAATCTGAAATTTTGTAGATAAAAAAATAATACGTCAAATGATACATATTAATTGCATTGAGCTTGTATAATTATTGTTTACGTCGTGTATAATAATATATGGTATATATAGTATAATAATGGTTTTGAAGAAATGTAATTTACTCAATGGGGTTGTACACTTTACACAGCAGCACAGCACCGTTATCTATACTAAAGCGAACACTTTTAAACAATTATATTTTATATAAAATAGTATGATTATTAATATTAGTTTTATTTAATTATTCAACATTTCTAGTGACATTGTTTAGTTTAATATACTATGTGTGCGTTATGCACATAAATCGTATGTATCTATATAATATCCTATGATTATTTCAACAATTTTAGTGTATTTTATATGCTGGTTATTCAATATACATACTGTGATAAGTCACTTTTAAGGGTCTTTTGAAAATTTCAGTAGGTTAATCTTTGGTGTTTTTTGAATTTTATATCGAACGATACATAGTATTCATAAATTTAAATAATAACTTTTTCACGAGATAAGTAAAAGTATATGGATTGATGACCAATATAAATTTGTAGTCTTATATTTTCTTCAAAAGGTATTACGATCGTAGGTTATTTTTAGTTCATAATATTAATCTATTGTACTTAAAATAGCCGAAGCATTATAGTATTAAAATGAAACAAAACTTTAATTAAAAAATTAATCGAAAAGTATCACCATAGTTTTTTGTTGTTGTGATATTTAGGTAAAGATATTATAACAATGAATATAAAAATGAATGAATTTATTGTCAATGATTAAACTATTTAACATTATTCAATAACTCAGATGTCGATTTTTATTTAGTATTTATCATTACAATTAGAACATAAGATTCAGATTTAAAAGATAACAATTCAATAAATATTATGTACGTAAATTAAACTATTATTTTTCATTAAAACTCAAAGCATGGTTATTAAAATGTAAATAAAACTATTTTTAATTTGTTTTAGGTAGTCTAACACTGTGAAGTGATCGAGTTACACTGGTTTAATTACAAACGCAAATACAATTCTATGTTTGGCGAGCTCATGTTTAAAATAAAGCAATAATTTTTTCTTTAAGAAATCATTTGACACTATAGTTTTATGAACATTTTTAATCATTTTATAGAACAATATGCAGAAAATGTATTGTTTTTCAACAATATAACACCATTTCAAAAAAAGCATAGGTATACCGGTGTATAATAATGGTTTTTTTTTAAAAATTGTACACGAGTTTTAAAACTGTCTTAAAGTAAAACGTAAATGTTTTGTATTGAACTGAATACTTTTTGTTGGCCTTACTAAAAATCAAAATAACAATGACAATAAATGCAGATCTGTGAAAAATGTGAAGTATTAAATTGTTGCCTCAAATAAATGATAAATTGTTTTTCAATTACCTGACACGTGCACTGCGTTCTGCAATCTAGTCTGAACGTTTCTCCGTTGTCGTACGTCTTGTTGTACACCGTACACGGCAAGCCTTTTACTACTGAAAAAAAAAATTAAATTATAATAAACAATATAAAATACACATTTTTTAATTTTAAATAAATTATTACACGGCAATATTTTTCTTGTTATTTAAAAATTCAGATTTATTAGAATAGATGATTATCTAAGTAGGGTCTTTGTTGTTAGTAATATTTGGTTCTATGATATAGGCCGTTGTGATACTTGCTAACATATCGTACTAATAATACCGTAAGCACTCGCGAATGATCAAAAAACTGCACTAGGCAGATTATAAGATTCAATGAATCATTTAAATTTTTTTCAAACAAATACGACCTTTTAACAGTTTTCAATGCTCATTTTGAGTAATATTGAGCAGTAAACACACCTGCAATAACTTCACGTGTAAAATAATACATAGAGAAAAAAATGTTAAAGAGTAAAAAACTTTCAAGTTTAAATCTAATGGGTAAAACAATGTTATGACAAACCTTTATATAGTTTTAGAACTTATTTAATACTTCTTTTACATGTTTTTAATATTAAAAATAAAATAAATATTACGTTGTAAATAAAATTGAAATAGCATAAATAACAGGTGATTAGCGAATCAGTTTAATTGTTCGTTATGCAATTAATATGTTGTGGATATGTTAGGTTTCATGTTGAAATAAAATATTAATATATTTATCATGTAATACGCAATATGCAAATGGAAAATATTGTATTCATATGTTTATTAAATATAAAACATATCTATTTTAACACTATAATATTTTTATAGGATTTAATCAAATTGTTCTCATTACTTCTAAAAGACTATTTATTTATGAAATATTTTTCAAATTTTTAATAGTATTTATGTTTTAATAACTGTATAATCTATGCATTTTTATATGTAATATGTATATTTTTTTGTTTTAGTTGCTGTTAATTTAAAAAGTAAGTATTCTTGAAAAAGAAGTCTCTCACTATCAACACTTTCATCTGTGCAATTTTATTGTAATGAGATGCCGCACTTTTTTGTTTTTAAACTTCGGGGAGTATTCTTTGGAGTAATTTCTGCGGCCAAAATACCCACAATCGAATTTTGGTGGTTTAGAAACGAAAATTGGTAGAAACGATATATAGATAGATGGCTGTGACCACTTGCATATAGTTATCAGAATGGATAGCTTGGTTTGTAGAATAACAGATGTCATAAATCCTTAACAATTGCTTGATATTATGTAGATCGTAAATATATAGTGAGACGACACAGAGAGTATTTTTCTTGTTAAGTCTGAATTTTTTTTCCCATGTAGGTAGTTACTAAATATTGTCATTGTCATTATTATGAAGACCGTAATAATTAAAATTTAGGATAGTATTTATTTAGTTTTTATTTTAATTTTAAAATATCCAACCTAACTTAACTTTATTTATACTATTTTATAATAATATATTATGTAAATTAAATTGTGTTACTTATTATAATATAATCAGAGCTATACAGCTACAACGCTTATATGGCATACTATTGAAATTTGGAATTACTTATTGAAAATGATTAGCAGATACCTACAGAAAAACACAAACCTCTATAGTTAAACTACATACAGGTGTTTATTAAGTACCATTCAGTAAATATGTTTCTATTAGGAGAAATGGGATAACCAAAATGGAAAAATAATTGAATCTAGTATAGTATGACAGTAATATTCATAGGCTGTAGGTTTTATCGGCCGAGGTAAAAGTTAATATCGTCTCTAGGGATCATGAATAATTAAAATAAAAAAAAAAAATCTGCAGCAGGGTAATAATAATAAGACTCAAGGTAATAATAATAATAAAAAAAATAATCTTAATAAACTTTTATTATTCTTTAAGTACTTTTTTTCAGAGACCGAGAAAATGAACGTGATTTGATAGCACGACAGTTAGAGTTTAAAAACGACACTTAATTTGCATACAATTAAAATCTATTAGCTACGTTTTCAATGTAACTAATTTCAAAGTAGATGAAATTATTTTTCGTGACATAATATTAAATTATTAGTTTACTTTTCACATTGTTTTATAAAGATTTTTTCATTATATTTGCAATGATAAATATTATAAGAGTTCTGGTTAGAGCATACATGCATTAAATATTATTTTATCATCATTAAATACAAACTATGTGACGTATTATTAAATCCATGCATAACCCAATACATATCTCATTTTTACAGATGAGATATTTGCCATTATTGACTGAGTACGTTGAAATAAATAAAATATGCATATGACCAAGGGGAAGGTGTTGTAACATTCTTGTTAAAAATACTCATATATTAATAAAATATTGATGCTCATGAATAAAATATAATAGCTTAATAGTGTGAATACATTTAAATAATAATAATAATTAATGGCTCGGGTGAAAATGTACGTACAAAACTTATATAGAAGTATGATGAAGAATACGCTTTAACAATGAAATACAACATGTCGGAATTTTAAAACGGTTTAAGTGTAACAACGACGAAGGAGAAATAGTTAAATAGAACATAATTATACGTTCTTACAGTTATGAATGTGTACATTTGCGTGTGCACTGTACAGGGAAATATGAAAGAAACGTTACGGAGTAGTATATTGTTAGAAAAGCTAAGTGGACGGAATGAGAAAATAATGTGAAATAATAACAAAGGTTTGGAAGAATAAAAATTTTGGAGAGTACTCCGAAGGAATGTTGCAGTGGATAAAGACAGAAAAAAAATAATTATGTGCAGAGGCTGGAAACCTCTAGGTTAATAAAACCTTAAAAAGACACTCGAATAACATTTTATTTAACTGATGCTTGGAAAAACTTTATTATAGAAAGTCCAGAAAGTTTTCACTATAACAAAAAAAAAAAAAAAACAAATGTAGGTACACGAATGCGCATTTCCTATTGTTTTCACAACTTTCTGTTTTTACGGATTCTCATTTCCCACTATGTTGTCATATTCTATTGTTATTTTTAAAAAAAAAACACGTCATTAAAAATTATGCGTCAAACCAAATTTAGTTAAAATTAAGAATATATTTAATGTCTTATCGTTATTGCTTTTGAGAATATTCCATCGCGTGTTGTTACAGCTGACTGTATTGATGTATTGAGAAATTAATTTTTGAAAAATCCTACAATATATTAAAATGTATAATATTTGTTACATTTATACTTATATGCCGGATAAAAACTATACTTTGTATCGATATGTATAATAACCAAACATAATAATATTATATATAATCGTTGTATTCGTTTACGTAGTCATTAAAATCTAGTATCTATAATAACTATACGACCATAACATTAACATTTTGCGTACATAATGTGTACCTATTATAATATTATTACTCATATTTATATTTGTACACATCATGTACATAGCTGACAACAGCAAAATGACGAATTGGTGCGGAGTGAAAGATTTCAGAAAACTCAGAGTGACAAAAATGTAAAATATCTTGCGTGTATCTGGTACGAAATTACAGAGACTACGGGTCGGTCTACTATATTATAATTATATAAAGTCTGTGGTATATAGACCCGGATGGCCTTTGGGAAAGTCGCATGAATTGTGGCACGAGTATAATAATATATTGTTATAAACCTAATACCCCAACGAACGGAACGTATCCGAAACGAGTTATCATCGCGGTCATGCCGTTCAAAAATGTCAAGTCAGAAGCCCGCTATGCCTTCGACCATGAATGTGTTTACCATGTTATTATGGTTTCACGGGTTCGTGCAGAACGGGAGATTAAATTATTGTATGGCGACACCGAAGAAAGCCTTGCGGTGTTTGTGGCTTGCGACGAGAATGATAAAAAAAAAATCTGCGCGCATCGCATGTTAATATATGGATACATTACGCTTTATGTTAAACAGAATTAAGCATAACATGGTGCAGCAGATATCGTGTAGGGTTGTCCACTCGTCCGAGCTAAGGGTGTGAAAAAATGTGAAGGGTGCAGAGGGTTGTGCGTCGCAATTTTCCCGCGTATTTCGTAACGCGAATTTCTGGTGGCTCCGGTCATAATAATAATAATAATAATAATAATAATAATAATTATCATTGTTATTAAACTGTATAAGCATGTAGCTCGTGTAATTATTATTTTCATGGTGATACGAAAAAAAAAAAAAAAAAAAAACGAAAAAAAAAGTCGTGTTGTAGATTCGATATTATATCGCGAATGTTGGTGTTATTTTATAATGTGTACCGACGGATACACAGCACACTCGGAGGACAAAATATTAGCCGGTCGTCCGTTAATCGCCGCAACCCGAACGGCACGTACTTGCGCATAATAATAATAATATTAATAATAATAATAATAATAATAATAATAACGGTCTCCGGGTGAGTACATATAATTCCGTCAATATCATTGTCACTGTACACGGCCGCGTTAGTTTTTTTAAGTGCCCGCACATACGTCGATGGCACAGTGGTTTTATTTCTAATTCAGTCCTCTACTTCGAGTATACTTGGAATCATATTTATATGAGTTGCAATAAAAACAGGATTTGTAAAATTGTGTTCAGTTTTAGTACGGTCGTTTTTTTTTTTTTTTTTTTTTTAAACTTATTGTGTGTTTTTAATGTCGGTTACAGTGTTGGCCATAAACCTTGGGCTGGGTCTGTAATCCCTTTCATTAATTTGCTACACGGCCGTAAAAAAATATAGTGGGGTAGTTTTAATTTGAAAACGACGTCTATAAAACCAGGATCCTGTATCACATCGGCTAACCAATAAAGTAAAACTAAACGGCCCGTGATCAATTTAATCGGGGTTTATTAATTAATAATAAATTATTATATCGCACTTTATGTTTAGTTAAAGCGTTTTCGGATTGTTTTTTGTGATACTGTATTCGTTTAAATTGAATGCACCACACATTACCATACGTAACAATTTCAACGTGGACCCAGTACCAGTTCCGATGCAAGTTTTTTTTTTCATTTATAGCCTTTTAGCTTGCTACTTTTTCAGTTTTATTAAATCAAATACTATTAACGTT